CTTCATTTCCTCCATGTTTTCAAAATGTTTGATCTGACATGCTTTACTACTCGGCTACGAAGAACGTCACAGTCAAGCAACATTTTCTTTTCCCTTTTCAGGGAAAGTAAATCCTCTTCACCAAGATTATTTTTCTTGAAAGCCCATATCTGTTCAGTTTCATATCCAAAACGTAAATAAAGTAATTTCTAAAGAATTAAAGGATTAATTTTTAATCCATTTATTTAAATTTCACATACAAAACTGAGTAGATATTTAAAAAAAAAAATTAATATTCATTTTCTTTTATCTCTTCAGGACATGGGTGATTATGGCTCTCTTTGACTTCCTATCTTTTATTGCTTCAAGTAACTTTTGCTTCTTTATCAGGCCTTTTTTTGTTCTTGTTCTGCCATCAATTCACACCCATTAAGCAGGTTCTTTGTTGCTTTCCTTTACTTTTCTTGCTTTCTGTATTTCATGTGAGTGTTAGATTCTCCAGACCTACTTTCCTCATTACCTTTCTGGAGAAGGCATGGCAATTTACAAATAATGACAGAAAGGAATTTGTGCAAAGTCATAATTGTCTATGTCCTGCAGTGATATGGCACGGGGAGGAAGGACGTGCTGCATGGGCAACTGCTGATCTCTCATAACAAAAGAGAAAAAACCCTGCCCAGACCTGCGACCTGCTGAAGACATAACTCTTCGAGCGCAACTCTATGGTCTCTCGAAACCGACAGATGCCATATTATACAGTTAAACACGGTTCTATCTTCCGTTTTTTAAAGAAAGCATCTCCGAGTCCTTGTGAGTGACAAGTTATTTTCCAATCTGAAACTCCTCCCCTAGGGACGAAATGTCAAAAGTCTCTCGCTGTTCTATTGCTACTACAACAGAAAGTGCTCAATCGAACTGCATTCCTTTGTTCCCCTAGTTCTCACCTTCACAGTTAGGAGTCACCATGCCACTCACATTGTAGCAAACCGTTCACATTCACTCCTTTTTTTCCGTTGTTGAGAAGTTCCACTCTTCTAGCGAGACGCTGCTCTGTGGAACAGACTCTCAAGTGGATGTTTCTCCAATCACCACGATCTTAATCTGTTCAAGACTAGCGTTAACCGTTATCTTTCCGTTCTATCTGTATAAACTGCCTCTGAACGTAACCTTCCGCGAGTATCACCCGGACCTTGTAAAGGGTGAACCTTATTGTAAAATAAAAATCCCCGATGACTATAAAATTAAATATTCAAATAGAAGTATAGTGGATTGGTAAATAAGATTTTAGGATTCTTAAGTAGAAGATAAATAAAGAGTATAGTAAAGTAAGAGACAGGAGGAAATTGACTACTGATCATGGTTCATACAACAACATAATTCAACAATATAGCGTCGCCGATAGGATGTTTAAGTCGCTTGGATGAACCAGAATTTTCGATACTTGGATCGGATGTTTTACAGTCCAGGCCAGGTTTAAAAAAAATTGAGAGACAATCAGACAAGAAGGTGACATACCACAGCCATTATGTAAAAGAAAGGAAACAGCCTAATCGATCATTCTGATCAATTAAAACCCAGAAATGAAAACAAAGACATTATGATGTAAGAAGATCTTGATAGAGAAGAAAGGGTGAGTTCTTCAGATCAGGATAATGTAATTGAAGAGGAGCCTGTGGATGATAGCGGGAGAGACTCAGAAACGAAAGAAGATGAAATGAGACCAAGATCCCCATTAAAAAGAACAGGACATATACTTCAAGGGGGGGGGAGAAGAGAAAAATACCCCAAGCAAGGCGGGAAGGCCACTAGTTGATGCAATAATGCCGATTATTTGAAAAATAGAAATGTTGAAATAATTAGCGCCTTTCGATAAATCTGCATAGAAGGAACGTGGAAAAGGATTAAGTATACGAGGTAAAAAAAAAAAATATTAGCAAACGTCTAATTTTTGTTTTCTTGGTTAACGTTTTAGAAAAAATAAGCATGTGTGCAGAAAATGCGTAAATAATTAGAAAGAATTATACAAGATTGACCTCCAAGATAAGCCGGCGAGATTTTTACTTGCAACATGTTGGCAATTAAAAGAGAGATTTAGTGCGCATTTTTCTTAATTTTATTTTTCCTTCTACTGTTTATCTCTATATTTTTATGTAACGTCTCTTAAACTCTCGTATTTTATTTACTATTTTTCCTCACTAGGAGTAGATAGGTTCGCCTATTGTCCGGTTCGCACTCTTTCTAGGTCTGTTGAACAGGGACATTTATAGAGATTTATACCTTGTTTTCTGTTCAGGATTTCGTTTCCTTCCCAAACCTACTTCCTCTCTATATTTCTAATGTCTCCGCCTAAACTCTGACATTTATTTACTATTTATTTTTCCTCAATAGGAGAAGATAGATTCGCCTATCATCCGGTTCACCTTGTTCGGTTGGCAAGGTTGAATTTACTGCTTATAAACTTCAATCTTCCATGAATCTCATACATTCATAACTGCTCATGGCGTATCAAATGTAAACAAATGACGTCATATATTAAGAAATGGACAAAGTCCGACAATTTATTTATTAAAGACATTTTTATGTTTAACGTTCTTTTTTTTATAGATACAAGTATTTAAGTAAATGCTCTGTTTATAATAAAACCGAACGATCCTTTGTGGCCGAGCGGTCAAGGCACGTCAGCGTAAATGACGGTTCCGTATAGGATGCAGGTTCGAATCCTGTCAAAGAACGAATATTTTCTATGAAAATTTCTCGGACATTCAGGCCGGTAAATGTTATTTAATACTGTTTATTATAAACAGAGCATTTACTTAAATACTTGTATCTATAAAAAAGAACATTAAACATAAAAATGTCTTTAATAAATAAATTGTCAGACTTTGTCCATTTCTTAATACATACACACACACACACACACACACATATATATATATATATATATATATATATGGTAAATGTTAGTTAATACTGTTTAATATAAACAGAGCATTTACTTAAATACGTGTATCTATAAAAAGAATGTTAAACATAAAAATGTCTTTAATAAATTGTCGGACTTTGTCCAATTCTTAATGTATGACGTCATTTGTAGTGTCAAGCGTCTTGAAAGCGAGTTTGTTGTGTGACCAACATAAATATTATTTAATTCGTTGGAGATACAATCTCCCAAAGGGCACTTGAATTTATAAACTATGTTGGTTTTTTGCAAATCGCTAACCGGGGGAGAAGAATCATTGTGAATAATTCAATTGGATATACTAGATTTAGTGTAGTATATGTTTAATTTAATTTTTTTGCTAGGATCTGTAGTTGATATATTAGAATTTACTAAATTTTTTAGTATATTTTCATCTTGTTTATAATTAGTATGCATTTGATTACGATATAGGAGATTAATATGTTTGAGATCAGTAGAAGCAGTATTATGTACAATTTGCTTAGTATCGAGATTTCTAAGAAAGCATCTTATTTGTTCATCAACTATATAGTTTGGAAAGCTATTATTAATAAGTGTCTATATATATATATATATATATATATATATATATATATATATATATATATATATATATATATATATATATAAGTTTTGTGAAACCCCTGTACAATAAAAATGAAGAATGAATTAAAAATTACTTCTTGTCTTTCCTGGTATCCTACGGCCCAATAATTTTAAAACTGAAATCCCCCCACACACCCACACACCCATGGATATAAGGACGGCAAACGAAATGAACCCATAATTGTAAGGAGAGTAAGGAGTTTTTGTTTACAAACTTTGCCAACTGATAATTACGTTTATGACGAGGAAGAGTAAGGAGTTTGGCGAGAAAGCAGATGGTAGTAAGTTCAGTTAAAGAAATGATTGATTCGAATTTGAGAGATGAGTAAGTGTTATTAATTCTTAGCTGTCTGTAAGGCTGGCGATAATAAAGATGATAAATGCGATGTTTGTGAAACTTTGTATTTCTATCGAGAAGTGTGTATAAATTAAGACCGTTATGGTTAACATGACATATAGGCCAGTGAGATGTAACGACATATGTCATGACATATTAACATGACATATAGGCCAGTGAGATGTAATGAAATCAGATAGACGGTACTAGTGGTGCTAATAATAGATAGGGGAACTGTAAAAAAGAGCATTTGGAGGGTCATGATTCTCCACAACTTCCTATTATTTGTAGCTCTTCGCAATGTTTGCCTTTTTTTAATGTCCCACTTCTTCTTCAGCCATCTATTTGCGCATGCAAGTTAAATATGTTACTTTATGTCCGTTGTGAGTGTTGCAGTTTTCAAGCATTCTTTCCTCATCATGTGCATTATAAGTCTCAAATGTTTCTTTCTGGTTTGAAGTATAAGCGTCTTTTTGTTTCTGTTATCCTTAAGACTTCCTCATTGCTTACACGCTCCGTCAATTGTATTCTCAGCATCCTTCTGTAGAACAACATTTCTGTTGCTTCAAGTTTTTCTTCATCTGTGAGAAAATTGTCAAGCATTCACTACTATGTAGGAGGATTGATACTAAAAAGCAATTCAGCACTCGTTTCTTTATTTATAACGAAATTTTCCTGTTTCTTGATACTGAGCTTAGATTGTGGAAGTCATCTTTCCAATGCATCTTCATATTTTGGAGTCACATTTTCCATGCTGTGTTAAAACACTTCTCAGATATTTAATTTTTTTTATATCTCCAATTTGTAGCTTGCATCCCAATATTTTATTTATTTATTGTTTTTTTTTTTCTTTTTGTTACTGACAAGCATAAATTTCTTCTTCTTACAATTGATGCTTAGTCCTTTCTTCTTGCTTTCCTTTACTACCTCATCTAGGAGACGCTGTGATTTTCTGTCTCCCATCAACACTGTCATCTGCGTATCTTACGTTGTTAAAATTATGCCCACCCATACTAAATCCTGGTAGGATCCCTACTTCTCTGGGGATCGCTTCTATGTCGAGGTTGAATAAGACACATCAGCAGGATTTAAAAAAAAACAAAATCTGTGAGAGGACGAATGAACTTTCTTCTGGGGTCATCGGACATTCACCTCTTTTTCTTTCCACCTCTCTCTTTCCACCTCTCTCTTTCTCTCTCTCTCTCTCTCTCTTTCCACCTCTTTTTCTTTCTACCTCTTTCTTTCAACCTCTTTTTCTTTCCACCTCTCTATTTCCACCTCTCTTTCTACCTCTCCCTCTTTATACCTCTCCCTTTCCACCACACTCTCCACCTCCCCTTTCTATCTCTCTCTTTCCACCTTTTCTCTTACCGCCTCTCCCTTTCCACCTCACTCTCCATCTCTCCCTTTCCACCTCTTTTTTCTTTCCACCTCTCTCTTTCCACCTCTTTTTCTTTCCACCTCTCTCTTTCCACCTCTCTCTCTTTACACCTCTCCCTTTCCACCTCACTCTCCACCTCTCCCTTTCCATCTCTCTCTTTCCACCTCTTTTTTTTCCCTCTCTCTCTTTCCACCTCTCTCTCTTTCCACCTCTCTCTCTTTCCACCTCTCCTCTTTCCACCTCTCCCCTTTCCACTCTCCACCTCTCCCTTTCCATCTCTCTCTTTCCACCTCTTTTTCTTTCCACCTCTCTCTCTTTCCACCTCTCTCTTTCCACCTCTCTCTCTCTTTCCACCTCTCTCTCTCTTTCCACCTCTCTCTCTCTTTCCACCTTTCTCTCTTACCGCCTCTCCCTTTCCACCTCACTCTCCATCTCTCCCTTTCCACCTCTTTTTCTTTCCACCTCTCTCTTTCCACCTCTTTTTCTTTCCACCTCTCTCTTCCCACCTCTCTCTCTTTACACCTCTCCCTTTCCACCTCACTCTCCACCTCTCCCTTTCCATCTCTCTCTTTCCACCTCTTTTTCTTTCCACCTCTCTCTCTTTCCACCTCTCTCTTTCCACCTCTCTCTCTTTCCACCTCTCTCTTTCCATCTCACTCTCCACCTCTTCCTTTCCACCTCTCTCTTTCCACCTCTCTCTCTTTCCACCTCTCTCTCTTTCCACCTCTCTCTTTCCATCTCACTCTCCCCTCTTCCTTTCCATCTCTCTCTTTCCTCCTCTTTCTAGCTCTTTTTCTTTCCACCTCTCCCTTTCCACCTCTCTCTCTCTCTCTCTCTCCACCTCTCTCTTTCCTTTACTACCTCGTCTAGGAGATCCAGTGGTTTTCTGTGTCTTCCATCAACACTGTCATCTGCGTATGTTACGTTGTTAAAATTATTCCCACCCATACTAAATCCTGGTAGGATCTCTAGCTCCCTGAAGATCGCCATGCTGTTGAGGTTTAATAAACCTTGTAAGACGACACACCAGCAGGATTAACAAAAAAAAAAAAAAAAAAAAAAAACAAGATCTGTGAAAGGACGAATGAACTTTCTTCTGGGGTCATCGAACATCTAGCACAACGGAGTGGACAGGAATCCATTGCTATATATGTGTGGCGGTGAGACGACGTTGCTGGGATGAGAGCTACCGAGAATGGAGTCAACGTTCAAGTCGGGGAGTTCCCTTTGAGGACATCGGCTGTGTGGTTCGATTTGGAGACAGATACGCTCCACCAGGTCTACTTTCCCGAGGCGCACTACGCATGAAATAATACCTCTCCGGCTTTCAATTCAGATATTAACACACAACTGAGACAGATGGAGGAAGCTGGTCAGACAGATGATGATGATGATGATGATCACCTGAACAAGGCCGGGGCGCACAACGGCCAAAACGTCGTGAACATGACAATAAAGATGAGGATAACAGTCCAAACACTGTAAACAATTTAGATGATGAAAAGTGTATGTCTTAATATCCATGGTATCCCAGAAAGATATAAATCATTTTCAAATGGCAAACAAGATTACTGGTTAAAATTAAGAAATAGCAGAGTTTACTGACTTACAAAGAAGATTAACGGATTAAATTAAATATTGGATTAAATTAAATGCATGAATCTGCAAAAAAGAAAAAAATAAAGAAATTATTGGAAGTTAAGAGTACATTTATCTATCTATATAATACTAAAAATCTGTGAATCATGCTTTAATGATTTAAGTTTCCTTCCACCTCTCTTTCCACCTCTCTCTCTCTCTCTCGCTTTCCACCTTTCTCTTTCCACCTCACTCTCTCTCTCTCTCCTTCCACCTATCTCGCTTTCCACCTCTTTTTCTTTCCACACCTCTCTTTCCACCTCACACTCTTTCCACCTCTTTTTCTTTCCACCTCTTTCTACTTCTCTCTGTTTCCACCTCTTTTTCTTTCCACCTCTATCTTTCCACCTCTCTCTTTCCACCTCTGTCTTTCCACCTCTCTCTCTCTCTCTCTCTTTCCACCTCACACTCTTTCCACCTCTTTTCCTTTTCACCTCTCTATTTCCACCTCTTTTTCTTTCCACCCCTCTCTCTCTCTCTTTCCACCTTTCTCTTTCCACCTCTGTCTTTCTCTCTTTCCGCCTCTCTGTCATCACGTGCGTGCCTATTTATATTTCAGCTTTCTCTAAGCAAACAATATTTTTAAAATATTTTTTTGCCATATTAAAAAATATTTTTAAGTTAATCTTAATTTTAAAAATATTTTAAGTGAATAAGATTTAAAAATACTAGTTGTTTATAAAGTAAGTATTTTTATTTTAACTTTCTTCAAGCGGACAATTTTTTTTAATTAAAATATTTTTAAGTTAAAGACAGACACAAAGAGATCCCGATTTGCTGTTTCGTCCAGTTGTTTGTAGAGCAATTATTCATATTTCATCTTTCTTTAAACAAAACAATAATTTAAATATTTCAAAAATATTTTTGGCATATTAAAAAAGAATTAAGTTAATCTGATTTTAAAACTATTTTAAATGAAATAGATTTAAAAATACGAGTTGTTTATAAAGTGTTTTTATTTCAGCTTTCTTCAAACAGACAATTTTTTTTAATGTTGAAATCAACTTCAGTGTTTTATAACATGAACCGTCAGTGACCCAACTGGTCACAGGTAGTCTAGTTTGTGCGAATGCAGTGGCGGCAGCTGGAATTTGAACTTGACAGGCCAACTTCGTTTTCTACCTTGATAATCACTACTCCACATCCACATTTATTGGGGGGGGGGGGTAATATATACAGGATGTCTCCAAAAATGTACTCCCTCCTTAAATGATAATGAATGCAGTGTTTATTGACTTACAAACCAAATTAACGGTTTAAATTAAAAATTAAAAGAAATTGAATGCCTGCATCTGAAATTATAGGAAATCAAAATTCGAAAACATTTTGTTTATTATTGAATCATTTTATACGGTTTATCTACCCTTTTTCATCTTATTTAAAGCCAGAAAATAGTATTAGATTTAAAAAAAAATTTTGAGACGATAATGATTTAGTCATACACGTCTTACTATTTAACCCATACTTTGTAGGAGAAATGAATTCATACCTTTCCCAAAGGTGTTTGCGCATAAGTGAATCTACCAAACCCAATGGGAATTGGAACTCAGCTCGCCAGTTAACAAATTCCGACCGGTCATCCATTACACCACCCGCACCTCCAAGCTTACGGCGCTTGTTATGCCCAAGCGGTCACTCACTCAGGTGACTTACGGCCACATCACGTTGAAACACCGGTTCCCGTAATATGACCGAAGTTAAGCAACGTAGATCCTGGTCAGTACCTAGATGCGTGACCGCTTGAGAATACTAGGTATTGTAAGCTTGGATGTGCGGCTGGTGTAATGACTAGGAATTGTTAATCGGAGATCCAAGTTCAGTTGCAGCTGGGTTCGTTATATTCACTTACACACAAAAAGCCTTGAGTAAAGGTGTGAATCCACTTTTCTCCCCCTAGCTATGAGTTAATTAGTCAGACTTGTATCACTAAAACCGTTATTATTCCCAAAAATAAAATAAAAATTGTGTACAAAATATTTCAATTTCGGCATTAAATATCTCATAGTGGTTGATATGCCGCTAAACAGAAACAAACAACCCATCGAGGTAGTTACCAGACTCGACGTTGCTTAACTTCGGTGATCGTACGGAACGTGATGTGGACTTAAGCACATTATTTTATTTATTTTAGTTTATTTATTTATTTTTATTTATTTATTTTGTTTTTTTGTTTTTTGTTTTGTTTTGTTTTTTTGTTTGGTTGTGGATACTCTGTATTATGCAAAGCCTTTTAACCACAGAGCTAAGTGTTAAGTGTTTGTTAGGGTGACAGAACTAATTTCAATACGGAACCTCAAAAGAGTAATTTGCAGTTCAAGCCCCGCGCTCAGATTCTAATAAAATATTTCCCGAATAGTTCCATTTAGTTGTAAATGTACATGCTTAATTCGAAAATAACAAAGAAATTTTGCTAAAGTCTACCGTTTTGGAGTTATCGACAATAAAAGTTCGGACTCATTCGTGTCGCGGTGGGTGACAATTGAAATTAATTCTGCACTCCATTTGTTAACTATCAACTATTAAGTATTTGGAACTATTTTTTTCTTATCAACACCAGAACCTTTTTTTTTTTTTTTTTTCGCAAATGAAAAGGTTTTTCCACTCAATGGTAAATATTTTCAGTGGAACAAAACTAAGTCAGCAAAAGTTCAATAAAAATTTTGAAAAACCCGAAAATGCATTTTCTTTATTTTTTTAATAAAAAAAAAAGATAAATTTTTCAAGAAAAAATAGATGCTTTTTTTTTTTTTTTTTTTTTTTGAGTCTATGGCTGTCTGTGTCATGTGTCACAGTGGATAAAGGCGTTGGTTAGATCCAGTCACAGGACCAAAAAAGTGTGAGTTCGATACCCGGTTAAGGCAGTGGAGAACTTTCAGAGGGAAATTAACAGGAGATAACTAATAACTGACATCCATCAAACGTGACACGTGGAACTAGAACAGTCTACCCCAGTGAGTGAAATAAAAGGTTCAGTTTGACATTCCAACCACCTGAAGAAGGCCGGAGCGTACAACTGCCGAAACGTTGTAATGAATATGGCGACAAAGATGAGGACAATAGTCCGAATAATGTCATTTTTTTTTTTTTGCTACGCATAGTTTTTTTTTTGGGCGGGGGTAGGCAGTTTTTCAGTTCACTGATATTTTTATCGATGTTACCCCTCCTCATCAAAGTTACCAGACTTGACGTACCGATGAAATTTTAATTCAAAATTTTCTATCATCCCGAACCAATATTCTGTCGTCCTCGTAATTACGTTAATCTCAACATTTCTGTTGACAATTTCCAAACTAAACAGTTTAATAAATCATTGTCAATGGAGCAAGGATTACCTTTGTCCGGAGTTAGTGGGCTGGAGAGGTGGTTATACTACATTTCAAATAATTTTGATATCCTTCTTCCATAAATACCCTCAACATCATTTTCCTTAGCAAGGAGTTTTTATACCGTTGTCATAACCACAAGCAGACAGAAATATCATTGCGGTTGACTTTGGAGAATTTGGTGTGTCAAATATTTTCCCATGTTTGGAGACAGACTAGAAAGTAAGGAGAAATAATAGTAGAAAATACAGTGGATTGAAGTAAAATTACTAGACAGAGAAGAGCAATGAAGAATCAGTCCATAAATTAGACTCGATCACCACAAATGTTTTCCTTTATATGTATAGTGGAAGCCTGGCAAAATATTTTTAAATGCTGCATCAGTAGGCCTAGCATAAAAATAAGTACCACGTGAGAGCTATTATTATTATTTTCTTACTAGATTTACTTTGTCGTCTTGCCTAGCACAATATATTCGCCTATCAAAACAATTCTGGGAAAGAAAACGTCTGAAATTAACTTCTTCTTTACCAATGTGTTATATTCCGTGCTAATAGGAATATATACTTGAAAAAACAAGATGGATAAAATAAGTAAAGGTTTATTGTAAAAAAATCAGTACAATAACAATAAAGGTAACAATTATGCACAAGGTCATCGCAAGTCAGTCCAGTATTGAATGCTACTATTGGAAGGTCGGTAGTTCTCGCGTAAGTCTGAGTCGTACTCAACAGATCCCAGCTGGTCTCTGTAGTCCGTTGACTTACGTTTATAATTTTTCAGGTTTCATCAACCACTTCAGGAAAATCAAGGATCCTCTTAAACATTGGATTTACTGCTGTTATCACAATCTATGAATTACTTGAATCTCTGATTTACTGCCAGAGTAAGGAGATGTACGTCCACGGCTCACTTCATTGTTACCAGCGGATGACGGCGGTGACACAACGTCAGGGAGTCATGAATGGCAAGAACCAAGCCCCAGTACAAGCAGCAGCGACACCCCGTCTGAAAGCGAGAAAGAAGTAGACTTGACCCGTATTGATCCCCCGGGATATGATTCAGACCAGGACACATCTGACGATTCAGCCGGGGAGGAAGTCATGGTTATACCACCGCGAAGGAGTGCAAGGGTGAAACGACCAGCCCCTCGCTGTCACTTATGTGATCATACGATCAGGGGGGAGTGTAATAGATGTGACAGTGACTTACCAGGAGCAAAACGAATTCGCTGCCTCGCGTGTCGAACCATTCTCTGAAAGTCGGTCGCGCGTGCGTACACCTACTGCCATTTTTATGCAGCAGACTTATTTGCATAAGAGAACAACGCTACCCATTAAAAACCAGGTGAGTGGACGTGGGGGGGGGCACAGCTCTTCTAGGCTTCGGTGAGATTAGACGTATTGCTGAAAGAAAGCGACATCAATTTCTGGACATCTGACAGAGATTTAATCAGTTCTCTGGTAATTTAAATAATAATTTTTGTTTTTGAATTAATATAATTTGAAGTGGGTGTTAAGTGGGATATCTTGAATTTTAGCCATATAAACCTTTTAGTGTTCCATATTTTTTATATTCTGTGCTAATAGGAATATATACTTGAAAAACAAGGTGGATAAAATAAGTAAAGGTTTATTGTAAAAAAAAAAACAGTACAATAAGAATAAAGGTAACAGTTATGCACAAGGTCATCGCAAGTCAATCCAGTAGTGAGTGCTACTATTGGAAGGTCGGTAGTTCACAAGTAAGTCTGAGTCGTGCTCAACAGATATCAGATAATATTTGCCAACCTCCCCACGAGGTAGGATGTGGCACAAGGCCGAATTTAATGTGGAGTAATCCGAGCACGTAGGATTGGCCAAAAATACCTCGTAAAACCCGCATAAACGCGTTCGGGTCTGTCTACCTCCCCGGACGAGACTCTGCCCTTCGGCATAGCCTCGTCCGGATTCCTCCCTGCCCGAAGACAGAGAGTTAGACAGCAGCTAAGAGCTGAGTAACAGATCCCAGCTAGTCAACATTTACTAGCACCCCCACGAGGGTAGATGTGGTACAAGGCCGAATTTAACGTGGGTCATCTGAGCCCGTAGGCTCTGCCAAAAATTTCCAGTAGAACCCGCATAAACGGGTTTGGGTCTATCTACCTCCCAGGACAAGACTCTGCCCTTCGGCACAGCCTCGTCTAGCTTCCTATCTGCCCGAAGGCAGAGAGTTCGACCGTATAGCTGAAAAGATTCCAGCTAGGATATTTAAGAACCACCCCAATCGGTCAGATGTAACACAAGGCCGAATTAAACGTGGGGTATCCATAAAAAACGGGGCCGGGTAACTGTCTACCACCCCAGACGAGACTTTGCCCTTCGTCATAGCCTCGTCCGGGATCCTCTCTGCTCAGAGGCAGAGAGTTCGACCTGCAAGCCGAAAAAGGTTTCGGCTAGTATATTTAGTTTGTTAGATAGATAGATAGATAGTTGAAATGAGGTTCTAGGAAGCAATGAAGGTTATAGCGATGATTAAATATTTCTATAAGCATTAGTAACTTCATTTGGAATATACACAATAAAATCGGCTCTCCGATTAACAACTCCGAGCCATTATCCATTACACCACACACATCCAAGCTTACAGAACCTGGTATTCCCAAAAGGTCACCCATCTCGGTATTGAGCAGGCTCGACGTTGCTTAACTTCAGTGACCGGTATTTCAACGTGATGTAACCGAAATCTCTCTCTCTCTCTCTCTCTCTCTCTCTCTCTCTCTCTCTGTGTATATATATATATATATATATATATAATTGGTAACAGAAGCCATTGTTTTTTTCAACGGCTTCCCTTACTTAATACTTCTCGAATTCACTCTCGCGTGGTCATGTGTGACGTCATGGGCTGCGGTGCGATTTTCGCTTCCAGCGTCTTATATGCACGTGTTTATCGTTGCTTGGAAAGCATCCATGTAAACAGAAACAGACTATTATCACATTCTTGTCCGTGTATTGCTTAATATATTCTACTGTAATTGACATCTTTGATAATGGCTTATGTAAGCCGAAATCTTAGATAGTATTAAAAAATAAAATATTGTGATTTTCTTTCTTCGTTTAATGATAATGTTATTAAGCTTATCAGACGTACATTATTTACATTATTCGGACTATTGTCCTCTTCTTCTTTGTCGCCATATTTATCACAACGTTTCGACCGTTGTACGCTACGGCCTTCCTCAAGGACACATGGCACAGTGGATAAAGGCGTTGGTTAGATCCAGTGACAGGACCCAAGGAGTGTGAGTTCAATACCCGGTTAAGGCAGTGGAGAACTTTCAGAGGGAAATTAGTATGAGATAAACTGATAACTGACATCTATCAAACATGGCACGTGGAACTAGAACAGTCTACCCCAGTTAGCGAAATAAAGGGTTCAGTTCGAAATTCCAACCACCT